GAGAGAGAGAGAGAGAGAGAGAGAGAAAGTGAGTGAGTGAGTGAATGAGTGAGTGAGTGAGTGAGTGAGTAAGTGAGTGAGTGAGTGAGTGTTTGTACTGTAATTATTATAATGTATTATTATTCTCAAAAGTATTTCATATTATTATATTTTCATTAGTTATTTCAATTAGTAATTAATTAAATTTATACATTTAATATTATTTATCCAGAAAAAATATAATGATAAATAAATTTGAAGAAGTCTGATTATTTTCAGAACTTCATTTTTAAGAAATATAGAGATATAAAAAATTATTGAAAGATACAAAAAATACAAAAATTTAATTTATTCCTTATTTTAAGTAGCAATATACATTAGCAGTTATATATGAAATTGTGCATAAAAGGAAGTATTAAAACATTGATAGTATGAAGCATAAAATAAACTATGTTTACATACAAAAAATTGAAAATCATTTTCCTGTATTATTTATTGAAAAATAATATATATATTTGATTAATTTATATACATATACATTTATTATTATATTAACTGTAATTATCAAATTCAGATCATTTTCTATTATTTTAATATTATATATATTAGTATATTTTGATTTTTTAATAATTTTTTTTTTTTTTTTTTTTGCTTTACATTCGACTTATATTTTATATATTTTACGAAATTCGCAAGACTGAAGTATTATATATATTATTCATGTAAAGAAAATTAACTATTTTATTGAACATTACAAAAGTTTGTTAATAATTTATAAAAAAATTATCGCCTATATCAACACGATATGATGTTACGTCATAAATTAATTGTTCTTTGACGCACAATAAAAATATATGTAATACAATAATTTGGATATGCATTATGAATTTGTATATTGCTACTTAAGAGCTGTCCATAAAATGCAACATTTAAAATGATAATATTTTTGCACTTATTTTATAGTAGTTTCATAAATAGTATAATCTTGAGTCTTATTTTTTCGACTTTTGTACCTTAAAAAAGGTCATACAACATAATCAAAACAAAAATGCTTATAAAAAAGTCTCTGCTCATTCGATTCTTAGAATTCTATTACACAGTCGCAAGTCTTATAAATTCTATACTTCTGCGCAGTAGTACGAAATTCTACTCTTTTTTAGAGCAAAAAATAGAAATCTTGCGAATTCTGATCCGCAAAGAATCATTTCAGCGGAAAAAATTCAAATTCTGGTTGAGAATCGTATATGTACAAGCGAAGAGGTATTTCGTCAATTTATATCCACATTTCTACTAATAATCTGCTTGCATAGATAATCGTTGATTGTTACTTGGTTTTAATGGTATTGTACAACGACGCGCATCTGGAAATCTCTCATAATATCTCTCTAGTCTCAGGTACTTTACAGTTACTAAATGACCTGGAAAAATATAAAATTATACATATATACATATACACGCATGCATGCACACATACAGATAGAGTACAGAATACTTCAAAAATATTGATACATTTATAAATTAGAAATTCCTGAGATAATTTCAAGCAACATTTTTTTTTTGCAAAAACTTTCATTATGGCTTTATTATTAACAAAAAAACTAGACAATCACGAAACGCATAGCCTAGTCGTGTCATAATAGTAATATTAGCTATGTCGCCAATCGAATACGAATAAATCCAAGCAACATATCTCGTAGAAAGTGTGTTAATATTATATTTATTTATTTATTCATTATTTGTGATATAATTTGATATAATTTTTTATTGATAAAAAAAATATTTATTATATTCAACACATTTTTTTCGAGATATATTGAACTTGTTCATGATCAGCAGCATATAACTAATTAAAAATAGCTAATTAATAAACTATTATGGCATAACTAGGCTACGCGCTTCGTGTTTGGATAATGTTTTTTATTAATAACTTGTTAATAAAATTGTAATGAAAGTTTTTGCAAAAAAAAATATTGCTTAAAATTATTTGAAAAATCTCCAGTTTATGGATGTTCAAATATTTTTGAAGTACTCTACAAATATTATGAGATGTTTGTCGATTCTAAAAATCAAAATAAAATTCAAAATTGATATACAAAAATATCAATTAAGATTTAGTAATTGATAAGAAGAAATGAAATAAAAAAAAAATAAGATCAGTATTTATATATTATTGTATTTTGCTTTCTCATGTAATAAAAATTTGATCCTCCAAGTGTATTTTTTACACCACCGATAGCAATTTTATTTCAAACATTTTTGATTTCAAGCATACTTATTTCATTAAATATTGCTTTCAAACATTCTTGAAGTCATAAAATAAGATTGCAATTATTTACATTAAAAAAAAAAAGATAAACTTCATTATATTTGATAAGTCAAGTTATATTCGAATACTAAAAATAAACAATAATTTCGCACTAAACAGGAATGATAAGAATTAAATTAATAAATAAATTTAATTAAATAAATAAATTTTAGGAACAAAAATCGACATTTTTTTCATTCCAACTTTTGTGTTTGTTTTGACTTTTAGAATCGACTTTCTTAAAATATTTTAAAAAAATATTAACATACTGTATATATTAGAAAAATTATAGTAAAAAGTTTTATAAATACTTACCATCAAACCAACATCCATGTAAAGCCCTATAAGCTTTTCCTGCATCTTCTTGTGACATACATTTCATGTAAACACAACCTTCTCGACTACCGCGATCTACACGAATGTGAAGAATTTTAACACCTTCTCCACATTTCTCTAGAATAGCATCTTGAACTTTTGTTTCCCAATCATCTTCAAATTCTCTAGAAATATTTATTCATACATATATATATAAATACATAAATTTATATTAAAATTAAAAAAAAATATTATAAATTAAATACTTACACATCTGCATCAAACATATGCCTTATTTTTAAACAGGGTGTTGGTGAACAAGTCAAACTATTAACAGAACCTTCCATTGTTTCAAAAGCTTGACCTTGCCACACTTTAGATTTTTTATTTAAAACAAAATTTTGACTGTTAGATTTATTAAGACTATTATTAGGCAACCAGCGCCATACGTGAAATTCTTCCCCTGAAACTTGTTGTACTTCTCTTCGAATTCTATAATTAAATATTTTTATTTATATCAATAAGTATTATAGAATTTACAATAATTTGCTAAATTTTTTACCTAGATTCATTTTCATCCAAAAATTTCACTGCTTTTTCCCAAAGTCCAGCCATTTTTTTTCGATCTTTTGGAGGTATAAGATTATCACGTATATGATTTATAGCAAGAAAGCTTTCTTGTGTATTGCCCGGAGAATTAATTGCCGCATTTTGATGGTGCATCTCAACCATATTAATAATATCACTAACAAGTTTAAAAACTTCTCTCTCGGTACTTTTCTTGTATCTTATATACCAAACAAATAATTTCTGCATTCCTATAGCTGCTAAGAGACCTAAGAATATTATATTGCAATATTATTTATTTAATCTTACATAAAATTAAAATAGTGCAATATAATACAATATAAAAATTTATCTAACTATATATATATATATAATTATATATATATTTTATTTAATTAATGTAATATCTTTTAAACAATAAATATTATATATATAATATTTTTTATAGATAGACATATACAAGTTTTTTAAAAGTCAACTTTAATTTTTTAAATGGAATATAATTTTTATTTATATATTAATTCATGCAATACGTTATTTTTTACAAAAAAATTTATATTTATATTAAAAAATTTTATTAATTTTAAAGACTATAAAGATTATAACTTGAAGTTTGTATTAAAGACAAAAAAGACATGAACAATAGAATATCGCTTCGTATGTTCTTTTATAATAACTTTTACAAACTTCAAGTTCTTCTAAATGATTTCTACAAATTCCATGATTTTTTGACATTTTTGACAAGTTTATTTTTCTGACAATTTAAAACTTTTTTATAGAAAGTAATAATCGATAGTGTGAAAATTACATGATTCTATATGATTCTTTAAAAATTAAAAGTTGACCTTGATACGATCTCTATGTCTCTATCTACTATAAAATTAATGTTTAAAACATTATTATATAATGTTTTTCTTTATACTAAATTTTATACTAAATTTTTTTATAGCATTATATCTTTAAAAGATATTCCACTGTATTTAAATAAAACAAAAATTTATATATATATAGTGTTATTATATTTGCTATCTTTAGAGGTCAAACACAAAAGTTGGTATATAAAAATTTCAGTTAAAAAAAAAATTTATTTATTAAGTTTATGATAGATGAAGCAAGTAGAAATATAGTGCGACGACGGAAACATTATTCCATTTTTTTTTCATTTCGTCTAACCTAAACTTCAATTGTTTATAATTTAATAAATAAACCTTAATTATATAAAATCGATATTTTTATATATTAACTTTTGTTTTGATATTTTAGAATTAACCTTCTAAAGCTATTTCACGAATATATTAACACTTTGTGTATGCGCGCGTGCACAAACACATATATACAAAATTTGAAAATATATAGAGTATTTTTAATCTATTGTTATCACAAAATGCATATCAAGCTTTGCAATATGATATGCACAAGAGAATTGCAGGACAAAAATTATTGTAACAACAAAAGCAAAATTTACTAATGCGACGTAATTACAGTATTAAGATACTAAAATTATATGTATAACAAAATGTAATACTTTAAAATATAACATTATCATGTTATTATAGAACCTTATAGAGTTATAGTTTCAACAAGTTTCTTCCCATAATAAGTCGGTCAAAAATTTACCAAGTGACACAATTAGAAGAGAAGAGAATATGGTGAAAAGTTTGTTCTTAACAAGACATTGCATTGGCAACTCTGGATTCATTATCACCATTCCAACTTTCCCATTTAGACGAGTAGAAAATAATTCTTCCTATAACAAAAGAGTATCTTTTTCTTTAATTTATATACATTAGAAAAAATAAAAAAAATAAAAAATAAAGAAACTTTTTTACAATACCAAGGAATCCAAAATATTGCCGGAGTTTCCATTATCATCACTTATGTCTATAAGAGAAATTCCCCATTTCGGATTTTTTATGACAAGTAATTGTGCGTTTTGTAAATCTTCTTTTACTTCCAAACTTGTCTATAACATTATTTTGGGTAAATATAACACAATGTGTAATAATTGGTATTTCATATAATTAAATATAATTTAATAATTAATATTTTATTTAATTCAACATACCACTTTATTACTTGTAAACATTTGCATAATCTCAGAATCAGTCAAATAAGGAGTTTCACTGGAATTATCACATATCATGGATACAGCCTTTTTCGTTAAAATAGGTTGAAGTTTCTTCAACAATTGTAATACAGAATCTACATTTTCTTTCATTACACAATTAACTCCAGGTAATTCATAGTCATCTCCAACAAAACATAATGGTATGTTGCTATCTACAAATTGAAATATAAGACTAAAAACAATTATTTAA